TGAGTGCGAGAACAGTAGAGCCAGACCTACAGTGCTAAGTTGATGGAGAAGCTGCATGGCTACGAGCAGAATACTCTGAGAACGAAGCAAAGAAGTCCCAAAATGTAGACGGAAACGAATCCTGGCAAGCCGCTGGCCAAGTGCTGCGGAAGTCTATTGAAAGCAACCTCTTCACAAAAAAATATCTTATTGATCCCTTCCCCCAAAAATTAAAACCCCCCTAATACTAAATCATAAATTCAGGGGCCTAAAAATCCAAAAGACTACTTTTGAAAGGGGAAGACTACTTTTAAAAGGGGCCACCGAATAATGAATTTGGGTGGCTTTGAGGCCTTTAGGGGGTATGAGAAGAAATACAAAGGAATTGAGGATCCCCTTCATGTCCTAGGTTTTGACTGTTTTTTCAGGTTGGTTACTTAAGGATTTGATTCGATATACAAGAACTGACTGTGATTTCCATTGATTTTATTACCATGTTCGCCGTGTGCAATTAAATTTCAACTGAGTTTCACTTGGTTAGATTTCAATTGATTTGGCCGTGGAATTTAAGCCAGTTTTAATTGCTCTTAACACGAACTTAATTCGATTTCAGCTGGTTTTAGATACAATGCTCATTAAAGTTCAATCGACGTTAAAGGGATCTTAATTCGATTTTCATTGATGGTAAGAGGAATTTGAACTAGGTTTCAATTGATTTTGAAGGGAATGTCATTCGATTTCAACCGGTTTTTAAGGGATCTTAAATCGATTGAAAAATTGCTTGTCTTGTTCATTGTGTTTCAATTGATTCTCAATGGATGTGAATTCGCTTTCAAATGATTGTAAAAGAAAGCCAAAGTAGATTCCAATTGATGTTCATGTAATCTTTTGCTTCCACTTGATTTTAGATGGATTCAAATTCAGTTTCAATAGGTATCTAAACAACTGTTCAATTTCATTAAATAAATCAATTCATGAGTTCTTCATTTCGCATGGAATCTAAAAGGATTTTAATGGCAGCCCTATAGAATTCCTTCAATAAATATCCCCCGTAATATTAAAGAAATGCCGGGGCCCGGATTATTTGCTATCGGGGGGGGGGGGGGGGGGGGGGGGGGGGAAGGAGGGAGGGGCGGGGGACGGAGGGGCACGATTGATATTGGGGGGAGCGATGCTGAGTTACAACGGGATGTAACTATTGAGATATCTAAGTTAAGTTACGTAAGCATAATGGCATCGCTGAGAGTATGGCACAAGATGTTCTTGAGCTGTTTGCTTCAGAGTCGTATGGGCTACTTAGACATTGCTGGATGTTAGCACTAGGATCCAACTACTATAGGGGGAAACATGGGGAAACGGCCTGAACAGCTTGAACCCTACAACCACAATGTCTTCCCGAAAGCATATTAGTTACAGTCATTCAAGAAAGGCTTCTTAACTTCAGGCTGTCTTCAAGGCTGGCTTAGGCAACATGCGAAGCCTGATCTGACTTCGCCGTATGGTTGAGCACATAAGTGCACACTTCATCGAGATGGTCACAAAGGGCGATACTCACGCACAACAGCGTTTAGGGTTTAAGGTGAGGGCGGGGGGTTTAGGGGTTTAGGGTTGAGGGATGTGTAAGCTATGGTATAGGGTTTAGGGCTAATCAGCCAAATTCAGTTGGCTGTTGAGGAGTCAGGCAGCTTGCCAGGCGGGAGGGGAAGCCTTTAGCTTTGGGAGCATGTGCTTGACAGATGGAGCGCCAGAAGCTGGGCCAACACGGGCCCCGGCCTCTGCAAAACGAGCATACAACAAGACGCAATCCATGCCAATGTAAACAAGACTGAGAGCATGTGCCGTAGCGATCTTCGTACTTGTGTCCCAGGCCCCAAAGCACCGGAGCTCTTAACTCTTGCGCTAAGAAGCCCCCTTATCAAAGCTATTCTTGATGTTGAAAGGCGCTAGAATGCTCTTTGGCTTTCGTGGCATCATCTTCATTGCCAGCACCACTATCGATCACGTTGTCATCACTGTCCTTCCTATCTAAATTTGTCCAAGTCTCTCCATCGGCCGATTCCGTCCTTGTTGCAAGGACATGATGAGGGCACGGATCGGCGGGGTGACAGACGCCGCAACAAGGGATGCTATCGGATCAGACATTTCCTTTCAAACACGTACACATGTTATCAACACTGACACTGTAATTGCCACATGTACTGGCACGAAGGGCACCTGCGAAAGCGTCAGTGTGTCTGAACCACAGCGCCTGTCGACAAAGTGCGCAAAGCTCCTAAGCCTGAAGCTGCCCATGGAGAGCCGACTCGACTGGAGGGAACAGCAAACAGACTCAAATGGACTTCAAACACATCTCACGCGGATTTCTCCCGCCACCACCACTGCCACTGACTACTACTGCTACTGCCAATGCTAGCTCAAGCTCTAGTATTAATGCACTACTAGGTCACTACTGCTATGACACACCTACTTGCTCCTTAGAGTCTGCTATGCTGTACTTTTCGACCACTTCTACTTCCCGCCACTTCTGCAGCTGCTTCTTGCACTGAGCTTGTCTCATTTCTCATGTAAATGTATACTGTATACAGTGTTCATGGTTACTATTTCTCTACTTACCACTCGAAACCCACGTGAACCCCCCCAACATTGCCCAGATCATGCCGACGAGCTGCAGATCGGTCAAAGGCCGAGTCGGCTTTCTCGCCCACAGAGCATGCGACACCATGGCCGTGAAGATGGCATCAACAACGCTACAAGTACTCTCTGTTGCCAAATGACAATGACGGCATGGTCGCACTGCTCCAGTACGCAGTCATGGAGCTTAAGGACATAAGCCTTGCTGTCCACTATGGTGCAGCAATCGTGTATATAATGCTATTTCGTGGTATGGGATTGCATTTGGGGCTAGCAAATGTCGGGATGAAGGGTGTCGGGGATCGGTGTATCTCCAAGTCCAATCTTGAGGCAGTTTAGCCGTGCCTTTGGGAGTCACATGGAGTCCTGGTCATGGTCCTTGTCATATCCAACCACCAAATTTCTTGCAGGTGGCTCGAAGCCTTAGCCATGCCGGCTGGGTGGAGGCTGTGCAGGAAGCTGATGGCATCTCGGCACCAATATTTGGAGTACTTTTGCGGTTGCACTGATGACACGAGACAATTTGCCCCACCTTGGACAGACAACATCTACGCAGATAAAATCAAATAAACATCTCTTCCGCGATGAATGGCCTGAGCCTGGCAGCGGGATGCGTTTGTGAACCGTGCAGATGCGCATGGTGACTTCAACAACCACTGACGATACTACTCGTACCTTGCAAGGTGGCCGATTCTTTTCCTTTGCCAAACGGGGTCTGGCGTTGATGGCAGAGCTGGGTGTGTGAACACACCGAGCCCGGAATCAACATGGAGTCTATTTCCCGGCTTGCTGCGCAGGCACCACAAACCACTACGAAGTCCCCAGTCCATGGCGATATTGTTTCCACTGACTGTAATGCAACCGAGCTTTATTCTACAGAGTGTCACGATCAATGGTGGGCCCGTTTTTGTCTTGGTCTTCTGAGGCCTGTGTCCTTTGCTATACGCAACCGCACGCTCATCTGCCTCCAGAGCGTAGCTGTCCCTGCACTCTTCCAGCGTGTTATATAGGGGCATTTACAAGTAGAATAGGGTTTTGGGGCCCATTATACTATAAGTACAATAAGTAACCCCAGGCCCCTATATGACCGACCCGCGCAGCAAGGCTCTTCGGCTCTCCTTGCCGGTTTCGCCCGGGCTCTCAGCGGCTGCTTTTGGCAGGCGCCTGGAGCCCGGGTCTCCCGAGGCGCCGCGCAGCAGGGGAATTGAGAGCTGAGTGGTATCTAAAAGATATGTGTGTGTATGTATGTATGTCATTTGTGTATATATATATATATATATATATACATATACATATATATATATATACATATAGATATATATATATATATATATATATATATATACGTGTGTGTGTGTGTTTTCATTTATTTGTTTATCTCGTTTATACATGCATGCATACATACATAGATAGGTACGTACTCAGCTCCTTGGCTAATGCTTACCTACATGCCACATGCATGGAGGCCTTTGAAAATTGGCGTGTGCATGTATGCAAGTAGTTGCATATTTGCGCATGCATGCATGTGTGTATGTGTGCGTCCTTGTCTATGTACGTATGTATGTATGCATGCGTGAATGCATGGATGTATGTATCTATGTCAGCATGCATACATGCACGTACATATTGTATGTTGCATGTATTGAGAGTATTGTCTGCCTCTATTTCTATATGTCAGTGTATGCATACAGGTCTGCATATATCTACAAAATCTATACGCATATCCATGTAGTGCATGTCAGAATGCATGCCAGCATAGACAGATACATGAATAGATAGATCGATAGATAGAGAGACAGATAGACAGTCGTCTTGAATGTTTTGCTTAGTAGGATGTTGCGAAGCTCCTGTCTTCGGAGCAGTCTGGCACTTAACCCGCATCATCCCTGCCCACGAGGTGGCACGGCTGTTCCGGTGATTTTCCAGCTCCCAGTCTCTTGAAAGGATGAACGGCCTCAACATAAACTGCCGGATTCACGCTGAACAGCAGCCCACGGCAATGTACATGAATTCGTGCAGAAATGCGCAGGGATCCACAGCCGCTCGCTCCCCGACCGCGATGCCAGCCGCAGTGATATTTCCCCGAGTCGCTTTCAGTGGACATGCTCGTGCTGCTTAGAGAACGGAGGTCATGATGGAAGGCCGACAATGGAAAGCTGCAGGCTCCGGCGGCTCGGGGAGGTTCAGCGATAGTGCCGCCAGCAGCATCCAGCACCTGCACAACTCAATGGCAAGTTCTTGCGGCAACACAGGCTACGTGGGCCATCATTGGGCTTTGAATTTCGGGCTCCTCCAATCCAGCTGCACAGGGCAAGCCAAGCTGTTAAGAGGAGCGTCATGACATGTCATCTCGGGAACCGACTCGCCTGTGAAACACGCACGGACCCGAGTCAAGTGTCGTCCGCCACCTGCCACGATGCAGCCGTTTCGACGTCAGAAGCTACTGGAACCTGGAGGATCAGGAAACTTAGTAAGTAGGGTTACGTAAGGTTACTATACGTTATATCGACCTATAACCTTAATTAGGGTACGTTTAACCCTACTTAAGTCAGTCCCATGATCCTCTAAGTAGATCTCCACCCGCAGCCTCCGGACCCGGCATCTCCGCGAAGTGCTTCCCGCAGTGCGGGCAGCACTTGGCCACTGCAATAGGAACCTCGGAGTCGGTCTGAGAAAGGGACTCCTTACAATATAGTATAATATAGTATCACATAGTATAACATAGTATACGTAACATAGTATAGTATAGTATGATATAGTATGGTGGTATAATATATCCTAAAACCCTATTCCAAATATTAAGGCCCCTAAATTAACCTCATTTGATTTGAGCTCGCTACTATACCGTGGCTTTGGGCCAGGTTTGCGCGCCTTTACTCTGGACATTGCCGGTGAGTACCGCGGAAAACGAAAGCCTCCTGAATCGACACATACCGATGACTACATGGCTTCAGTCGACCCGTGAAGGAATTGGAAAAATCCATGCTTCAAAGCTGCGTTGGCCAGTCTACGAAGAACATACGAGTAATGCCAGGAGTCCCGAGGCGGCTGCTGTGACGTACACGGGGATGACGAAGTCCTGGTCACGGCTACGACTGACAACTTGCAACCATGATGGGACGGCATTTTGGGAGATCCTCTACATGGCACAAACTCGGAAATCTTTGAACCGGCAAAAGCTCCACACCTTGCCGCCCGGCCTTGTTGGCAGCAAGCGACATGGATGCAGACATCGCAGAAGCCGCGGATGTTGCTGCTAAAGCGACGGCCTTGATGCATCTACAGCTCGGAGCAGGCTCAAGTCATGGTGCAGCCAAGTATATTCATGGACGGAGCCATCAACGTCTACTCAGCTGCCAAGAAGTTTTCATCCAGGCTGCGCTGGGACCGCACGCCGCATCTGGAAGGGCCTCACGACCGAAAGGCACTAGGACCTAGCTAAGGAGTCTAGGAAGGCAATCCTTCCGTCCGTCTCTTTCACTTCTCGCAGCATGTCCCCCTGCACTGCACCTAACTGAGCCAGGACTGACAAGCTTTTCCTTTGCATTCAGCCATCCTAGCAGCACAGTAACTTCAACAATCAGAAAAACACCAGACAAGAAGACTCCCAAATCCACTTGTAGCTCGTGTCTCGGGATGATGCGAAGCTCCCGCCGCCCAGCGCCAGACCCTCGGACCGGCTGAAAAGACATCGACAGTCTTATGCCAGCGGGCACCGGAAAGGCTGGCCGGACAAGGGATGCATGGGTTTGTGGGGTCATACTGCGAATCCAGTGGCACTACATGCCCCTGAAGACGAGAACCATCACGCAAAGTCATAATCTAAGCAACGACAGTGCAGAAACGTTTTTGTGCCCGAACCCTCTTGCGCGACTGCACTCTGAGGCAGAGGCCGGAGCTGGCGAGCAGGGAGGCGAACTGGAGTGTAAGACTTGTTGCAGCAGAACAGTATGTACATGCTAATTCAATTCATGAGTAGCAACAGCAAAGGTGAAAGTGGTGGTTACGGCAACGGCAGTCGCGGCAGTAGCAAGCATACAGCAGTTCGGGGGGGCAGCGGCAATAGCGGTGAGTGCGGGAGTCGCAGAAATCAGTCGTGGTCGTGGTGGTGACGGCAAGAAGAGCACGCTGAGAAGAGCATTCTGTAACCAAGAGGTCATCATCTACTTCTCCCCAAGCCTTGATGCCCACAGCATGTCCGAATGGTACACCGTCAAAGTCCGGTGTTGGGCTTCGGGCGGGGTCTTCGACCATCTCTGTACCGGAGTTGGCACGTAGCTGGCCTGGCCCTGCCAAAGCGACAACCAGTCAGGCTCCGATGCATGGCAGCTGTCTCAAGAAGCCTAAGAAACGCTTTTTTGGCCTTGGGAACATGAAAGCACGGGAAGCTCCAAAGCCCAACATTGCCTGGGACCAGTAGCCGTCCTTGAAGCTGGCCTCAGGCTTTTGCATGGAAGCCACATGTTGTGGGAACGCTGAGAGGGACCCGGGAGTTAAAGTTGCAGCCACCTCTTGTTTGGGCACTGAAGAGCTTGGGCTCGTGGGTCAGTAGACAGGGACTGCATGACTCGTTGATTATGGGAAGTTAAGTATCTTTCAACTCGGAGCAGGGGCCCCCCTTCTTGTGAATTGCTACTGGTTCTGAGTCCCTGGCGCGGCGCTCAGAGACACTCATGTCGGAACCGCTGTCCATGTCTGCCCAGGCGCGCCTGATCCGAAATCCGCATTCTTCCGCCTACGACCTGAGGGTCTTGCTTTGCTCGCATTTGCTCGCGCAAGGGCTGGTTGACGGCGGAAGGCAGAAGCCTTTGAACCCAAACCTTGCGATTGTGTTTTCTGAAATAGGCTGCAGCGACAGAAATCGGAAACCCTGTGGCCTATGGCTGAGAGGGAGCTCCAGTGGAGGCACAGGCCAAGTTCTTGCCTCCAGGGCAAATGGACAAATCTGTCGAAAGGGCGAGGTTCTGAATTCAGCGTTGTGTTCAAGACAAGCAGCCGGTAGATGATGCTAAGTCCAGGATGCAAAGATTCAGAGCTGAGGTGGGCTCTTCCGCTCAGAAACAACGCGACTACTGTAAAATCGAGAGTCACCTTACAAGCCGCCGAACCTGCGAGTCCAGAAGGGTCGCTTGCGGCGTGCTGATATCCTGGCTTTCACCAGAAGCTTATGCATCATTATTAACAACAATGGTTAATATTAATAATGATAATAATAACAATGATAATTCAATATAATAGTAATATCAGTGAGAATAGTACAACAGCCAGCAGAAGGAGTACATGGTCCAAGAGAAGCCAGAGAAGCACAGCGGGTTGTGCATTGGATGTCAGAGAGATAAATGGGACCTGGTTGAAGAAACCTGACAAAATGGGATCCTTCTCAGGACGAGCCTTCAAGAATCTACCCGCTCCCTCTGGCTCCCTGTGCTGGTCCTCGTCCTCGGGGATTGGAGGGCCGGCCATCCTTGCAGAATGCATTGCTACTCCCTTCGGATCACGGAGGCACCCTTTTGGAGCCTTCTGACTTGTTACGTGGCCGAATCGGATCCCATGTTCTGGCTTCCGGCCTTTAGCCTGTCACTCCGACTGACCCAGATCCCTCACAGCAGCTCGGCAAAGAGAGCTCTTCCGGTAAGCCCAGCACCACGGTCTGGACAATGTGGCCGGCCTTTCAAGACGACTAGTTTCCACCTACCGGCTTTCATACGCAAGCCACACATCGCAATCTCAGGCGTAGTGACATTCACCCCGGGGATCCTGAAACCAGCACTTGCCCTCCCAATGCGGCCCAGTCGCATACGCTGGCTTCCAGAGAGCTGCAGGCCCTTTGTTGCGGTTACACTTCCGGCATACACTTTGCATCATACTTTCACAGACGTAGCAAAACTGCAAGGTGGCTCTGCCAAACAAGGATGGCGTCCGATCTTCTCTCAACTCGTGGCCTGCAGACCCGGTGGGGGGGCAAGCGCCCGCCCTCGGCCCATGCCACGGCCATGAAGGCCGAAAGAGGGCCCCTGCAAAGAAAGGAGGCTTGCCGCGAAGGGATACGAGCACTGTCCGCGCAATTCAATCGCGCTAGGCGCGCAACTCGAGTTAAAAACGACTTCCGAAGCTGCTTCTGTTCTCGAACCCAGGCGAGCCTCGAAAAGCCTTCCCATTGGACGACCTGCTCATGTTGCTGCTATGCCAAGCAAGCTTCATGGTTGTTGAAGGAAGTCGAGGTCACGCGCCCACTGTCGAGCTATGTGACAAGTGACAAGCAATGCTGCCTGCCCGTGGCTCTGAACCCGTTCTCTATCATAGTAGTGCTGCAGGACATTTGAGCTTGAGGAAATGACAACCATGCGGAAGCTGGAAGTTAAACCAACCACTATCGGATCCTACCAAGCAGCCTCGCATGTTTGCAAATATACCAGCCACGGGATCTGAGAAGACAGGCGCCCTGGGCACCCTCCGTCGCACCCTGAAGCAAAATACTCCAACCTGGGACTACGTGCCGAAACGCTATCGAAGGCCTGCATTCTGCTCTGCAACCCTTGCAAGCACCAAAATCGAACCTCGGCCGAATCCTCGTGCCGCCGCCCATGAACCGTCAGCATAGAGCCCCGGGACGATGTCGTCGTCCTGGACCACATGGGCAGGTTCATGGTTGGCCGTGGGGAGCTTCGAAAATTCGCGCTTTTTCATCTTTACACGGCCTGGCTCGATGCTGGACAATGCAATTCTCCGGCCTAGCAACCCTCAGCATTACAGACCTACATCCATTGAAGGCAACCCGATAAGTTACGTTGGTTCAGAGGGTGAAGCTTGAACGTGCCAAGATCCTCGGCGTCGTCGCTCTGGGCCTTGTCCTCCAAGCAGCAGGCATAGCTTCTTGGTTGCGGGTACAGGTGTCACCTCAGGGCAGTCGTACTTCCTGCAGGGTGAGAATGGTGGGAATGTAACAGACAATGTCAACTATCCCTGCCAGCTACCCAGGGTCTTGTTGGCCCACGGAGCAACAAGCCGGAATAAAGGGCCATCATCACCATTGCCACGGTCACGCCCCGTCGCCGTTGTCATGATGATCACCATCGTCATCACACAAGTCCTGAGCAAGAGCAGCACAGCGTACAATCGATCACGGTCATAAGGAGCAGCAGCAGCAGCAGCAGCAGCAGCAGCAGCAGCAGCACCGGCAGAAGCATTGGCAGCAGCTTCACACCATCGGCACCATCACACTCACCTTCGAACCAGCACCACTGCCACGGCCACCATCAAAACAGCAGCACCACAATGACTCATCACCACCACAAACCACCATCATAATCACTTTCTTTTTCGTCATCACCATGACCATCATCATCATCATCGCAGCCATCAGACATCATGGCAATTCACCGCCACAGAACGCAGTGATGAAAGAAAACCTTTTCAATCCCATGTTAGGCCCACTCCTCTGCAGCCTCGGCCGGCTTCACCTCCCTCACCGTGGCAGTGGTGGGAGCCGCCTACCAAGGGTGAAGAGGAGTGTCTACCAGTCCAAGTAAAAGGCCCCTTTACCAACCTTGCAGGGCAAGGGATTGTCCAAAAAGACAACAAGAACGACAGACGGGTGATCTTGTGACATGACCAGGTTGTCAAAGGCAGAGACAGGCCACGACCCACTGTCCGAGTACTGGTAGCCTTCACAGTACGGTTCTATCGAGCGGGGCCCAGCAAACACATCAAAGACATACAAAGAACCTTCAGCTTCTCCTGCTTCCTGCACGCTTGTCACCTGGAGACCACCTGAAGCCCCGAACCTGCTTTGGCCTGCGCGGCGGCCGTCTCAAGGGCTCTTTTGGGTGACTTGTCGAATCCAGGGTCAGGGCCTCGGCCATGAACGGTTCAAGGTCTTGACAATGGAGCGGCGATGTGATGCTCTGACCCACGAGATTAAGGCCAAGATCACTAAACTACTGACAAAGGCCCTTACGTTAGCCGGTGCTCTGTGTTGAAATTGTCATGGGTGCAGACATACGATGTGCGGGCCCCTGGCTCAGAAAATGTAGAAACTGAGTAAGAAGTGAGTTTGCAAGGCATAAATCCACAACATCGTAGCGCAGTATGATATATTCTACAGCTATTTGCAGCTCATGGCCGATTCTAACCTTCCTGTCTGCAGCATGAGAACAAGAACAGTTCCATGCCGGAGTAACCACTTAAAGTGACCAAGCCCCCTCTGGTAATTCCTACGGTCGGGTAGTCAATCCGAAAATGTCATCCCTAATAGACAACCCTGTTTAGCAGCCCCTTACAGCCCCTTACAGTGTAGCCAGTCCTGAGCACAGCACTTGGCTCGGAGGCCTTTCCCTGCAGAAGCTCCAACGCCTCTGTCGCCTTCGTCTTAGGGCTTACGGTTCTGGTTTTTCAGTTTAGAGTACACTCAGATTTCAGTTTTGGGGTGATGCAGCACAACAATCACCATCACCGGGCGTCATAATCCACTCTTTTCGTTTATCACCCTTATCATCGTGACGAGAGTGATGGCTGCGTGACAGCCACCGACCGGATCGCCTGCTTGCCTCACACCTCGCCTTCCTGCTTGTTCAAGTTGCTTAAGGCTGCTATATTGTTTGTTCTATATTAAGTATGCCTACACGGCCAAATCGTATCTGGTAGTGAAAGTGTACATGCCCCCAGGTGGCCTGTCCGATTCGGACGTGCAACAGATTAATATGGGGGGGGGGCCTTCACAGTTAGAACAGTATTTGTGATTATTTAGGCCCCTATCTTATAGACCCATGGGCCCGCCAGATGCCTCCGTCGCTTCGGGCTGCTTTGGCCTCGGGAAAGCTCGCGAGCAGGGCGGAGAGCCGGCAAGTGCGAGCGAGCCAAAGAGCCCAATTAAGGAATATAGCTTAACTCATAATGTGAAGCCCTATATAATTTAAGAATTTAAGCCATATTCCTTTAAGGGGTATTGAGCACTCTGGGGAGCCGAGGTCACGGCCGATCCCTCCTCTGCGCCGGAACCGTCACGCCCTTCGCCTGGCCGCCGGATCGGATCGGAGCATCCATAAAAAAAAAAAAAAGCAAGGCTCCAACGAAAGCCTTTGCCCAAAAATGCAGGGTCCCTGGCCCCAGGCTCAAACAAGTCCAAGCCCAAAGACGCATCATGGTTCCTTTAAGCGAAACCTAAAATGTTGCCGCCACGTCGGGCTGCGAACCGGCTCCGGGTCCCCCCGCCGCAGCGAGCTCTTCCACCGCCTCGCCGCGGGCCAAAGCCTGCCAGAGAGAACGGCAAAGGGCTGCAACAATTGGGCTAAGATTGAATTCTAGGTGCGCAGACTTTGACTTTGGGCGCTGAGTTCGGTCCGGACTTTGCAGAGCGTGACCCTGCAGTGAGTTGCCGAAAAAACAGTCGCATCCGATGCCAGTGCTGTTATCTGCATTGTGGACCAAGTGCAGGCGCATCAGCCAAAACCCGAGCAACAAACTGCAGAAAGCATAACTTCCCACTGGTCAACATTTTTCTCGCTCCTTCGCCAGTGCGTGAGACTTTGGAGCTAAGCCTCAGTCAGCATCAAGTTCCTTAAGTAGGTCGCAACCTTGGCGGGCGCTTAAGACCGGACCTAGAAGAACAAAACAAAAGCTCGCACCGACTGATACCTCAGCCCAGTTAGGACCGGCAGATGGCCCTGTTTGGAGCTCCCTGTCTAAACCCCAGATTTTCGACTACAGCTGGCCTTAACCTGGAACCCTGAAGCCTGAAGCCAAGCCCTGCTTACAAAGGAATCCAAGCTGCAGCAGTCTGCCCATTGGCTGCAGCCCAGTGGAAGGGCCTTGCGCGGACATGCGGGCAGTTTTCTGCATTAGGATGTATCAAGCTTCTTCTATGTGGCTTATGCAGCTCACAGCAACCCAGATGGCACCTCTCGCCCTAACTTCGGGATTCTCCGGCTGCTCAGCTTGCCTGCTTCCCTGCGCATCGTGGTCCCAAGGCGTGGCCCGAAGCTCCAGGAGCCGCGACCTGAGCTCAAGGGCAAAACACCTCCGCATCACCTCTTTACCCGAAAAGTGTCTCAGCACTTGCTCAGCTGCAAGCAGGAGCTTCCGGTGGCCATTGGCTGCTGCCCAATGCACGGCTTGGCCTCGGAGAAGAGCACAGCCGGCTCTGCAAGAGTTCTCAGTGGCCCCAACACTGAAGCTCAGCCCAAATGTCTGCAACCAGCCGCTTTGTTCTCTCGCGCGGACCCGGCATCTCTGTCAGCCTACTTTGGGCTAAGGCATGCTATGTTGGGCTCAGGACATGTCAGATTTGCAGGGTCGAATGACCGTTCTAACGAGCCTAAATGGACATCTCGGTCGAATGTGTACAACGATGTGGTGGTCACCACGTTGGCGCATCTCAGCCGGCCCGGCGCATCTCTGCGTGGAGCAAGTCGAAGAGCTCTTTCCCTGCATTGAACGGTTCAGGGTGTACGATTTGCCCGGTTCTTAGGAGAACGATCTACTCTCGTTTCAAAGTGGAGTGGCTGATTTTAGGCTTCTGATCTGTGTGGCTCAACCCCCCTCAATTCCAACGAGTAAAGATTCGACATCTTCTTCACTACTACTACGCGCTCGCTCGCCGATCGGCCGGAGCTCCGTGTGGAGTGGATGCTTTGGTGACTTCTGATTACTCGTAGCTGTAACATGCTGTAACACCGCTACCACCTCGTATTGCGCTTTGAAGGCATCACTCAATAGTTCACGTTGAGACGTCTTTGAGCGGGCATCATGCTGCATCTTTGCATTCACTGGCTCCCAGCAATGGTGCACTATGATGCACTACCTCGTAGTACAGTAATTCGGCCACCAAAGCATGTAGCCCTCTGAACCTGATAATCTGATGAAAGCCACCTCGATGCGGGTTCCCGCCACAGAGCTGCGAGCAGCGCGCCTCTGTCACACGCACCTGAGGATTACTTGGCCAACATCGTTGCAAAATATAATTGCACTTCAACATTCCCCGTATATGGCTACTGTTTAGTTCTGTTGTCATGCTTCGGTGGTGGTGGTGGTGGTGGTGGTGGTGGTGGTGGTGGTGGTGGTGGTGGTGGTGGTGGTGGTGGTGGTGGTGGTGGTGGTGGAACATGGTGGTCGTGGTGGTGGTGGTGGTGGTGGTGGTGGTGGTGGTGGCCGTGGTGGTCGTGGTGGTCGTGGTGGTCGTGGTGGTCGTGGTGGTCGTGGTGGTCGTGGTGGTCGTGGTGGTCGTCGTGGTGGTGGTGGAACGTGGTGGTCGTGGTGGTGCGTGGTGGTCGTGGTGGTCGTGGTGGTCGTGGTGGTGCGGTGGGTGGCGGCGAGGGCAGCGGCGGCGTCGGTGGCGGTGGTGGGGGTGGCGGTGGCTGTGGCGGCCGTGGTGGCGGCGTGATGGCGGCGCTCGTGGCACGGCAACATGAGCGGGAGGGGGAGGAGGAGTCTCTGATGTCCTAATAAAGCACGACAGACTTTTGCAGAAGGGATGCAAGCATCTGCCCAGTGAAGTTCGTCGGCAGCTGCTCCTCACAGGTTGCAGCTCACCCTACTCCATTACTACCGCCATTGCAGCAGCGTTGGCGGATACTGGTGTTACTGTAATACCGATCAGAGTTGCTTGTTTTTGGTGCGATTGAAAGTAGTCATTCATTCCATTTCTACAAGTGCCGATAGCGCTATGTTTGTCCAAATCCAAAGCTGAAGCCAGTACCATTACATAAAACGCTCGTATTTATCATAATGTAGAATCCTGAACGCCAAAACCTGAAGCATCCCAGCCCCTGACCCCCAAGAACCAAAACCTGCGAGAAAAAAAAAAAAGCCGAAGCTCCAGAACATCTTGGAAGGCGCCCTCCGAGACAGAGCCAAGCCAAGACCTGACTGCCTGGCAGAGCAAGGCCTTTTGTGGGCTACAACAATCTGATTCTATAGGGGTCTTGTAGGGACTTTTCAAGAGTTAAACGGGAGTTCTTAATGGTCTCGGGACTTGGAGTCTGTAGAGGGTTGGAAAGGGTGTTTCTAAGGCTTAGGGACTTGGGAATTCGGGTGGCGCGGCCTCCGGATCCCAGGACTTCGGGTGGGGGACGCGCTGCCGCCGCTCAATACCTGAGCATGTCAAAGCAGCAGAGCAGCAGCCAGCACAGCATGTCGGCAGTTCGTACGATTAGGGGTGCCAAACCCGCGTGGCAGATACATAAAACAAGGCTTTGGGAAAGAGTTTCTGAGCTACCGCATTATGACATTTCCAGCCATCTACACCAACTCTTGATCACTGACGTTTGCCATGTTCGCCCCCTTCAAATGTAAGGCATATTCCTACAAGTAACAGTCTGAAATCCCTTTTTGCCGCCTTCCAGGATCAGCTCGCGATCCTCCCGCTCGGAGCCGCCGGTGCACAGCGAAACCTCCGCGGCCACCAGCCAAAGCCAGATCGGTGAGGATTCCCAACAGGGTTCGATTGAGGGTTCTGACGGTTTAGGATTTCGGATTTAGCACGATGCGTGAGAAGCTCATAGTACCGAAGAGCCTGCAGACGATGTCTATCACTTGAGCACATCAGGAATCATGTTCGAAGATGCGGTGTTGAACCGTCTCGATATGTCTCGATGTTTACTGGCTTCTGTCTCGATCCCCTCCGTCAGCCAGCTTGACATCCGATACACAGAAAGCAGTCATGCCAAGTGGGACCGGTCGTGGGTAAGCTGACCTGCGCTGATGTAATTGCTACTACGAGTACTGGTAGTAGGATTCGCTTGCGTCTTGGCTTTACCACCGTTGCATCGGTGTGTCACTTCTTTGTCGAGGCACACCCGTCCGCAGTGTAGACAGTGTGTGCTCCGTGTCTGAAGCGCAAGGTGAGGCCGTGCATATAACCTCGGCCACCCGGAAATGGAGGTTTTCTCTTGCAGCTCGCTTTCGCATCCGAAGCCAACTATGCACGGCCCCACAGCAAGTTGAGTGCTTTCACTGATCGGGCTACAGACATCAGGGCTCTCAATGTATCAAAGTAAAACGACTCAGCGTGCCCAGAAACTGCTGCTTTTTTCAGCAAGTGCTGCAGACATTCAGACATGAAGAACAGTGACTTGTACACAGTGCTAAAGCCTTGTGCGAGGGCACACCACTGATACTCCTTGCCCTGCTGGGCACGGCTATGCAACCGTTTAGACGAGGGGCTGCCAAGCGAGCTGCACGTGTCCGAAGAAAGGACTCGGCCAGGATCCTTGACCAGAGCAAGAACTCTGTCGGCCCCGCGCGTCAACGGTTGGTTTACCGAATTCCGGCTATAGTGAGCCGGGACACTTGGTGAGCGAGGAAGCGCGGAAAATGTGCGATGGCACGGAGCCCTGGGAGGTGAAGTAACGGATACACTCCTTCGGGTGGCAAGCTCCATGAGTGCCAGAATCGAAGTTTTCAAAAATCAACATCGACAACATCAGAGATCGTTTTCCACAAACGAAGCAAGGCTGTTAATGAAGCCAAGCGCCTTGAGGGCGTGCAGCGAAGCGTTTATTTCCGCCTGGGTGGCACAACCAGAGATTGCACACGCCATCGGAATTGACAACCGAGACCATGTCCAGGAAACAGCCCCCGAAACCACAAGAACGGGAGGAGAAAACGGACAAGGACAAGGACTGCAACGACGACAACATCCTCAATTCTGACATCTAGGTGCGTTGCAGACAGACTAAGGCTGGATAAGCCCAGGCGCTCCTTCCTGCTGTCGCTCCTTGGAGTGATACATGGCATCCTTCCTGGGCTGGAAGCTCAAGTTGCGCGTGTTCCAAAGGCAAGTTAGTTTTAATTTTTGATGATTCAGAATGGTCCAGAACATCCCCCCATCCGAGGTCGTGGGTCAAAACCAAACAAAGCTATTCTTCCCCGAGCTGCCTTCGCTCTGTGCCGGCGCAATCGATCAGGAGGAGCTGGCCACCAGTTTGTGCGAAGCGAAGCATGCAAACGGCATGGCTTCGCGAGCTCACATCATTGGCCTCCGTAGCTGAAGTTGCACGACAAGCGTGAGCTCTCCGCATCCAGGTGCAGAGGTCTTCCGGAGACGTAGGGCCCATGACCAGGGCCCCATCTGCCACGTAGGTTCCGTCTTTCATTTCTCTTAAACGCAGTTCCGGAGCCTGGGCTCCACGGTTTCGCGCCGCCGCGCGTGTGTCTCGTGCGGCGGCGGCAGAGGTGAGCAGGTCGAAACAGCGGTTTCCACGCAGTTCGTAGAACTGCAGAGACATGAAGTCGTCTGCAGCCTCCTCAGTTCTGGCAAAGATGTCTCTCGCGGCAAACTCTTCTATGGCAGTCATGGTGAACGTCTTTCCGCTCCCTGTCTGACCAAACATGAACATGGTGGCGATGCCACCATTCAGGGCAATCTGTACCAGAGGCTCGGCTGTTTGAGCGTAAACCTCCTCGTTGGAAGACTCTTCGGGAAAAACGCAGTCGAAGCCAAAGTGCGCATGGGTAATGAAAGGTGTCTTCAGATCTGCCTGAAACTGACAATTGTGCAGCACGACCTCCTTCGAGACCGGTTTTCTTGGCACTACGGTAAGGGCATCATAGTCCCCTCGGACCTGCGACTCCTTTTCGGAAATCGGCCTCTTGCGCATGTAGACCTGGACCACAGCAAGGGTGGCTTCCAGCTCCGACTGCTCTGCTGCATCAGCTTTGGATAACAGTTGCGATCTTCGTCGTGCGATGGCAGCCTCGAACATGGACTTGTGCATGGATCTCAGCTCGTTTTTGTCGAACATCTGGCGCCCGCCCTCCTCTTTGGAAGCGACCCTCCGTGGCGCACTGACAGACTGGGCACGACTTGGCTTGGGCGGGGATGGTGTGGCCTCAGGCGGCGCCCTCGAAACAGACCTCACGGCCCGCGTCTGCTCGTTAGGCTCGATCTGTGGCAGTTGGCCTGGGCCTCGTGTTGGACGATCTGCATTTGGTTGAGAAAGACGTTGCCGCGGAACTTCAGGCATCTGCCTGGCAGGGTCAGGCGGCTGAGAGCGACTTCGCCGCATCTGCGTCGGCGCCACATCTTCGCGATCAGCTGACCTGCCAATCATGTGCCAAGACACGGCACGAGCGGGAAGACATCATGAGAAGCCTAGTCACCATACACCCCACTCTCAAGGACCGACTCTCTTGCGGATTACCTCTCCTTACCTTCTCCTAACTGTCCTAACTTCTCCTCAAGGCGAAGAAATAGAAGGCCTGGCCGAAGGCTGCGGAGAGCGCAGGGCCTGGGCCTTGGGCTTCGGTGCGGGTAGGGCCGGACTCCTGGGCCGAACCGGTGAATCCATCGGACTCTGCAGACCCTTTGGCTTGCTTGGGCTGCGCGGAGGCCGAGCTTCTGCTTTGGCGGCTTCTTTGCCTTTGCGGAAATGGGGATTGGAAAAAATCATCGCGTCCATCTTCTCCTCACCGCCACGAAGGCCAGCCTCCCAGCAGTTCACCTCCGCCTGCAGCTCTTCCCGCTGTACAAGCACAATCTCTGGTGCCCTTGTGGCCTCGCCCTTGCTGGGCTTGCGAGCACGCGGCTTCGGCTTGCCAAAGACCAAAGGGTCCGCGCTGGCGACGTCCTCGGAGCCACCACGGAGCCCCGCCGCCCAAGCATCGGCTTCTGGGCTTGGCTCCCGCTCCCGCTGCTCCCGCTCAGGAGGGGAGGTCAGGTCCTTCAGGTCCTTCAGGTCCTGATCACTCTTCGCTTCCTGCCGGCTCTTCTGCTCCAACTGTTTCTGCTCAGGCCAGAAGGTGGCATCTGCTCCTGGGGGTGGGTCGGACTGCGTCAGATTCCAGGAGATCTCGGAATCCGAACCCGCCACCACCGCTGCCACTGCAGCGGGCGCAGCGGGCGCAGCGGGGGCAGCAGGACCAGGATTCGGGGCAGCAGCCGGGCCAGGATCCACTGACTGGGGAAGCAGCGTGGCATCAACAGCAGCCGCGCCTTCAAAGCACGTTCATGCCCACGGAAACATGATGAAACATGTCTTCATGTGCTTCATCGCCGGCCTTGGCACTGCTCAGGCAGAAGCGTGCCCTCTGTGTCGCCATCCATCTTCAATCGGAAGACGAGGCTTCACGGACGATGAGCTGGCTTGATCGTCTCTTGGTTTTTTAGGTCTGCTACAGTAACATACAGGACTTGCAGTCGCAGTGCATCTCTGACAGATGGAAGTCAATTCGTTGTGAAAAAAGCTGCAGGGCACACCACTGTCCAAATTTTTTAGAAGAACACGAAGGACATCAAGAATCAGAATGCTCGTCTGAGCAGGGGGCCGCCATGAACAGTATCTGCCGAATCCAGAGATGCCTTACCAGGTGCTGCAATGTGCTGCAACAGACTCTGCTAAAAATGCAGAGAGGGATGCGCCTCTCAGAGCCCTCCGGATCCAAGGGTCGTTGTATACAACTGGAAGACCACTACATTGAAACAAAGTATGATATCAGACGCATCATCCTAAGGTGCCCGGCCCCGAATTTCAGAAGCCGCTCGAGAGCGCAGAGGCTGCCGGAGGCCGCGGCCTCCGCTCTTCGCCAGAGAAAGAGAAGACATGGAGCAGCAGAAGCAGTCGTGGCTGTAGTCCAAGTTGTAGCACGCAAGCAGGAGTCGCAAGAGCAACAGCAGCAGTACAGTAGTAGTAGCAGCAGTAGAAGAAGAACAAGGAGTTGTAGAAGTACGAGGAGGAGGAGGAGGAGGCGGCGGAGTCGTAGTAGTAGTAGCTGTAGCAGTGGAAAAAGTCGTAGCAGCAGCTGCTGCAGCGGTAGCAGTGGCAGTAGCAGTAGCAGTTGATTCAGTACTACTACTCGTACGCGGATGCATAGGATAAGAGCAGAAGCTACCACCAGTACAATCAGCTGCAGTAGCTGCAGTAGCTGCAGCAGCTGCAGCATTGTTGCCGGCGTTGTCGTCGTTGTGTCTTCCATATTTGCAGTTGCACTTCCAGTCATCGTCGTCGCCGAGGCGCGAATATTGCAGCAACAGTCGCATGCAAGGCAAGTCGCAGTCGATATGATGGTTGTGGTGATGATGATGACGGCGACAGGAAGACGACGGGTAAGAACAAGAACGCTTTCAGAAGGATGGCAACTGATCATGATTTTGATGGGGACTGGTGCAGTTCACGTGCTGGCTTGTAATCAGGACTACGAGGTCTTGAAACCCCGACTGTCGACACCTTCAGAGCGTCCCTTGGGCTCCCGGCCCAATGCAGCGGCTGCACGCCTTCCCTGTCCCTGGCGGACGAATCCGCCCGTGCATGGAGGAGCAGCTGCACCACCCTCCAAAACAAGGAAAAGGTAAAGAAAGCAATGCAAGTAGAGCCCTGTCATTCAGTGCTGGCGTAGCTTCCTTGCGCCAAGCCTTTAATTTACGGCATGGACCCACGGAAAAGGCTGATGTCAGGCTGCGCCTGCAGTGTCCCGCCCCAACGTGTAGAGCCTGCTCCTGCCAGGGCAGTGCATGGCAGTACAGGGTAGAAGAAGCGCAGTGATGCTGCCAATTGCTGCCAGGATCATATGTTAAGATACTAGAAATAGGGGATAGAATGATTCATGATAGAATAGCCAGAATAGTCGTTACATTTCTTAGAAGTTGAGATGGGTTCGGGTGGGTGGGTGGGTGGGTGGGTGGGTAAATTGCACCCATACACGTCCGAACCGGACGGAAACCCTACCACGTCCGACCCTATAACGTCCGAACCGGACGGAAACCCTACCCTACCACGTCCGAACCGGACGGGAACCCTATAACGTCCGAACCGGACGGAAACCCTACCACGTCCGAACCGGACGGGAACCCTACGACGTCCGAACTGGACGAAAACCCTAGAATGACATGATAGTCGAGGACCAGCAGCCCAGCCACGGCATGAGTACAAATAGCTAAAAATACTACCATAAAACAATGTTGTCTTGCAGCATACCAGCATATCAAAAAGGAATCGGAGTCGGCTGCTGAATCTGAAAGCGGAAGCATTGAGCACCAGCCCTTTGGCTATTGTTCAAAGGCCGCGAACCCCGAGAGCCTCCCAGTCAAACCTGTCAGGATCAAAGTGCCGCTCATGGGTGCGAACTTGTAATGGCAATGCATAAAAAAACACGATGAAAGCCAATCTACCTGCGCTGTTGTTCATTAACGCAGCTACTTGCCCACCCGCACCCTCTCCGCCTGCGACCTGGAGGAAGCTGTGACGTTGCCATGAGACAGAAGCAGGGAGACCAGTGCCTGGGAGCGTTCAAGCGCAGCTGGGACGTTCCGTTGGATCCTTCGCAGTACTGGCTTTGCCGAGTGGCGACATGACCCGCAGCTGCAGCTTTGTGGAGGGGCCTGGCGCAAGATACTTTCCCACATCTTCACAGCTTCGGCTCGCGGAGAGACGCAATGACAGCCAGCTTCACTGCTTGCCCTGCCGGTCGCGCGCAAGAGCATCAGCCTTCGAGTATAGCTGCACTCAGCGCTAAAAAAAGCCCGGAGACACTTTCTCCAAGCGCCTGGCTCGGCTAAGGAGCAGCCGCCTGGCCGCAGCGAGGTGCCCGGCATCCGAGGCAGCGTGGAGCGCCGTGAGCCCTGCAGACCAAAGCAGCGGCACACATGGGGGGGGGGGGGGGGTTCAAGTTCGGGTCCCCTTTTGGGATACGCCAAATACTAGGTGCCGTATGATATTAAGGACCCGAAAAGGGCCCGTAATTTTGACAATACGCACATCAGCGCCCGAATCCTCGAAGTCAGACAGCACAAACTGCGCTCTGCCTGCTGCATCTGGGTGCTTGATATTTGCTCGCCTCGCCTTTGCATGGAAGGTATTTGGATTCTACTTGGGGGCAGACCTCCTCGGAACTGGACTGTGAACTCAACCTAAGGGAACTCGGGCCCTCCAGATCCCACGAGTCTCAAAGCTGCGCAGTACAACAAACGGTCACGGGCGTTATCGAGTTCCGAAGTGGCCCTTTCAAGAAAGGCGCCTAGAATCTAGACTGTTGGCCTTGGTACTGGGGGGATAACAACATCCGATTCATGCCAGCGACGTAGAGAGAAAGACAAAGTCACGGAAAGAAAGACATAAAGAGGGCGAAAGAGAAAGAAAGACAAAAAGAGAGAGAGAGAGAGAGAATGGGAAAGCGAGACGAGAGCCACTCACTTCCGAACCAAATCGAGTCATGACCCTCACCACTATCATCAGCCCATTCGGACAGAATGCACATGACTCATTAACCAATGGCCAATCACAATCAACCAGTGTCGCCTTTTGCGATGCGAGGTCCAGGCCAAGAGCTCCGCAACAGAGCTGTCACGGCCGAAGGCAGCCGCCACGTGGAGCCCTCGCCTCAGTCACAGGGAGCTCTTCCTCGGGTGTCGGCGATTTGAAACAGTGAAGTGACGTTTTTCACCCATGCCTGAAGGCGCGGAACCTGGCAAGTTGAAAGCGTCTCCATTCTGCCGTCAGAGTTGCGCCGTACGTGCGCGAAGAGCTACCCGAAGATCACCGACAGGAAGTAGCTTTTGAAGGGCCTGATCTGATTTCTGCACAGCTGCCTCTACGACTCTACGACTTCAGTCACGGACCCCTGCACTGGCCGGACTCCGATCCTCCTGAGCCTCCACGGAACTGTACTGAGCCAGAGCCCCATCCAGGCTTCTAGCTTCGACATCGCCTTCTTGCACAGCTTTGACGACCGGAGGCCAATCCTGTGTCAGCTCTGTCGGATCACATGCTGTTGGATTTGAGTTTGCGATCACGGCGACACTGTCTCAAAAACTCTAAATTCTCCACAATTTGACATTTTTGCTCTTTTAAGAGCAACTTATGACTTATGCTATTCTGCGTAGTTTTGCAGAGGCAGGGCAGCCTCACACCGAGGCCCCCGCAGCCCGGGAGCCTTGGCCGCCAACCTCGGGAAGCTGACAAAGGCCCCCATATCCCCCTTTAGGGTTTAGGATGGTTTAGGGTTTAGGATGGTTTAGGGTTTAGAGTTTATAGGGTTCAGGGTTTAGGGGCAAGCATGAGAGTTCGGCTTAAATCTCCTTCTCTATTCGGGCTTTGGGCTACACCTTTCACCCCCCCCTCCCCCAAACCCTGAATTGTCAGGTTGCTCTCAAGGCCGCTACAGCACATGGCCACTTAGCAGCGGCAATCCTGCAATCTGGGAAACCCGGCGCCTAGGACCAAGGGGTCCATGTTGCAAGTCGCGTGATCTACGTGCGTACCGATGTACACGACCTGAACGCCGAACGTGACATCCAGGGAGTGGGCTGTTTGTCAGGCCATGGAGGAAAGCGCCGGGGTTTGCCGATGAAGTTGCGGAGCTCCATGTGATGACCAAGGCATGTAACCGCAAGATTTGAAGGACAGCGCTTTGGATCTCAAGTGCGACACGACCCCGCCTCACCAGGCCGCTGCACCTCAGGTTCTATTGAAGCTTGAGGGCTCCAGGCCGAAGAAGTCGCAGGACTCGGCACTGTTCAAGAGTCCGTAAACATTTAACCGGTAAGAGTACGGCAGCCCGCAGGTCACGATGACTGTGGGAATCTGAAACTGGTTTCCAGGCCGAGATACACAGAATTGAATGCCCGGAGGTGGTGCTGTGCCCAGCGCACCGCACGGATCCTGCGGAGTGGCGGGGGGCGGGCATGGCCTATGGCCTACGGCCCTTCTCGGAATCCCAACATCCAACCGACCTACAAAGAGCCCCGGCCTCCCATCCGCGGAAGCTGTCCGTGCCCTTGGAGGCTTCAGTTCCCCAAGTACTGCGACTCCATACTTCGCACACTCTGTTCTTGTCGTGCACCCTTGCCAAAATGTTTTGGCACAGGCAACCCGACAGCCGGCCGGACTCCTGCAGCAGCCAGCAACCGGGCCTCAGGCCGAGCCGATCCACCAGGCTTTCCTCAGAGGCTTGCCGCGTTGACTCGGCTAGGTACGGCAAAACGGTGCAACTACATGCTCTATAGCGATGGCTGACGCTTGTCGCCGAGGCCGAATCATCGGCGGAATATGTCAGAATCCATCTTGGGGTTACTGCCGTTCAGATTCTGCGTTCCAAACCCCCGGACGAACACTTTCCCTTCTGCTTGGGACCTGGCCGACCACGGAACAGGATCAGCCAGGACTCCTCGGTCAGGGCTCGGCGGAAGAAAGGCTCGCGAAAATGGCGCCCATCCTAATAGACAAGTCAGTGGAACCGGACCAAGCACTAAACTCCAAATTGATGTCTGTGTAGCCTCACTTCTGTGGGAAGCTTGAGGCTGTTGGACTCAGGGTGCGGCTTCATGCGAATGCCGGTTCACGCTGGAAGCCTCTCGTCTGCCAAAGTGTCCCCCAAACAGGAAACGAGGCGAATCAAGCAACTGCCGCCTGCGATCCCAGCGAGAAAACCCAGCGTGCGGCGAGATCGGCCAGCCCCTCGCCCACCGCTGCCGCAGCACGAGCGCGGGCCTGCGGTCGGGAAGTCCCGCTCTGTGGCTTCTGCTGATTCTCTCCCGTTCAGAGAGCCTCAGCTCTAAGTGAAAATCGTGATGCTTGGGGATGCTCAGTAGAATCTGACGTGAGTGCCTCTCAGCTTACACGGCGAGACCACTTACCTTACATGCGCTGTCAAAGATTTACAATGCTCGGCACCCGTCAATGCAAAGCCAACTTCCGACGCCTCATCGAGCAAGAACGGTTCCAGGCGCAGCCCGTGCTGCGGCCTCCACAGCTACGAACCAGCATGGGATCACAGCGGGCATTTGTCGGTCACCCCACTCTATCCACCTGCCACGGAAACTGTTCCGAACTCGCAACACATCACGAATCCCGAAAGGTCCTGTTAATGGCGAAGATGTGGAAACTCGAGGCATTCCCTCGCAAGTATCCTCAGAAAGCAATGGAGAACTCATGAACTCATGGATACAGAAGATTACAGCGCATTTCTTCGTCAACTGACATAGCATTGCTCGATTTGGACCAGCTAGTAGCTTGCACAGGGTGAGGAACTGCTTGCAGTGCAGGCTGGGAGGCGAGTGCTGTTGCTGTCATGACCGTGGAAAGTGGCGGTCTGCAAAGGAGAAGGATTTCGGTTCACATCGGAAGGGCATGGCGATTGAGAATCTACTGGAGGGCCACGAACGACGAAGGCCGACGACATCTTTGCTATCGTCGACACTTCAGCTTCAGTTACACCCTCTTTTTCTAAGGCTCGGACGCTCAAGGGGGATGCTGCGCTGAGCCTGCCACTCTACTTCGCTACTCCTGACTCGCCAATAGTCACGTGGAGGCAGACCCGATGCCGAGATGGCTCGTCCCCACATTCGTCCATCTCTAAGGCCCACCTTCCCGGGTCCAAATTGACCGTTGTTGATGGGATAGTCCTGGTGCGAGATACTGGTGCTGGAAGTCTCGGAGACTCGGGGACATGTGATGATGCACGGAAAGCAAACCTTCCAAGCTGCTTGAGGGAAAGTAACCGGCACAGCTCAGACACCTACACATGTCTGCACTGGCCTCGTCACCGTGCTCTTCTAGATTTAGCACTGGTAGGCCTCTGCAGTCGGACGACACGAGCTGCACAGGGGACTTCCATGCCAGTCTTGGCCGGGCGGCTGGAGAGGCCACTGATGATCACAGGCCTTTCATGGCGCTTGAAGGATGCAGCCACCTGTGCGTTGCGTTTAGGTGGCGATGCGCTGGGCGGGCCCGTGACAAGTGTTCTAGTAAATCATGGGCACTATGAATATGTGGGCACACCATAGTGCGGAGCTGGATTCACCAGAAATCGAGCGCTTGTGGATTTGTCCCGCGTTCAACAGCATGCAAGGCCAAATTCCGAGTACCACATCTGCGGGTGAATTTGATCCTAAACCCTAGACATTGCGCTGGGGCTGCAGGTCTAGATGTCCTCTTGTCCCTTGGCTCTGCCCATGATCTCCGGGGCTACGGCTTCTACGATTGCTCAGCCAAACTGACCAGCAACACTTCTTTGGTTCTTGCATCAGCAAGCACCAGACCCCCAGCACTCTCCACTCTCTGCCACTGCAACGAGACCTCCCACGCGAAGCCTCAGCCCAGGAGCGGAAGCGCTCCGCCCGAACCCGCAGCAGGTCGCACTGCGGCAAAGCTTCAGAACGGGCTGGGGCCGTATCGGCGGGAGATGTTCAGACTCAGCCTGGATTGGGCAGACCTTCCTTGCTTGATTACATCTCTCCGAAGATTGGCACGTCTACCTCCTTCTGTAAAGACCTGTTGTCTAAAGTCCTTGCAAGCCAGCACGTGCCCGCCTGCTCTTGCACTGCATCGTGTCTTCTGGCAGCTCGTCGAACATTAGCCAGGGCCGGCGGCCGCTTCGCAACCTGAGGAACTCTCTAGGTCTGAACAGGCCAACTAATTACTAGTGAGCGTTCGAATCTTAGATCAGGTGTTGGCCTCCTGGAGCACCTCCGAGAATTCGAGGTCCTCCGCGCTCGCCTCACAGCGGGCACGAGGTTCGCATCGCTTTTCTAATCACCGGACGTCCTGAGGCTGCGATCCTCCCAGCGCTTGCGCAAGGTCCTAGGGTCCTGGCTGCACCAGCAATCGCGGCCAGCCAGCAGCTTCGCACCTCGCTAGGGCAGGTTAAGGCGGTCAAGGCCTCGGCAGCCCTCACTTCTTCATTGCACTGAGTTTCTGGTTCTGAGCTCCTGAGACCGGCACCAGCATGCAGCCATCGCTGCGGGCCCACAGCTAGGTCAACATCCCTATAACGAAACGACTCGACCAGGAGAGCACCAGGCACAAGGCAGAGCTCGATTCAATACTTCGCGGGTCCCCAAATCCTCTAAAACACCAGGTTCAGAGCCAAGGGCCGAAGGCGACGTGCAGAGTTCAACCTTTCAACGCTGGACCTCGCCAGGACGATTCCCCTGGCCCTGCCTTCCCCAGCTTTCGCCGTTCCCGCTGGCGCGCCCGCTTCGCGGCGCGGGCACCGCCAGCTTGGCCCTGCCTTGGGAGAAGAGCTGCCGAGAGAGAAATACGAGCAAGAGACACTATGTCACTATGACACTCCAACAGGCTACTCTGGCTCGTGCTCCTCCTTCTCCTCTGCTTGCTCTTCGGCTTCCTCCTCCGTGGACCTGCCCCGCATGCTGCACACTCAATCTTCTGCCCTTCATGGCATGAGCAGCTCTCGCAACCTTTTTTCCTTGCGTGCGTCACTGTGTCTGAGAACCCAGGCGTGGCGGCCAGGACTTGAGAAAGCCGGCAGCCTCAGTGAAACGTCTTTAGCTGAGCCAGGCATTGGAACGTGCAATCATCTTAGGACATCTTAAGAACTTGTCCAAAGTATAGTATGGTATGTCACGGCGTACTGTAGAAATTCATGACTTGCAATAATAAAAGGAATCAAGCGTGAAGAGACAACTTCCAGATAATCACGGCACGGCAGTGCGCCATCATTGGGCCATCACTGCCCGGTCGCCTCCTCACGACCACTATGAAATCTCACTGCACCACGTTCTCCGTGCAGCAGAAAGAACATTGACAGCATCAATAGCACATTGAGATCAATCGAGAATCACGAAGATTGGAAGAGAAGTAGCTCCGACGCTGATAGAAGACCGGCATCGGGCCCGGATTCGAAGCCACACGCCCATCCGCTCTTCGATCACCACTTTCCGTACTTTCAGGAGCTATAGGTCGAGTTCCTCGAAACCAGCGGCCGGTTGTAGATCCGCTTCGGGGGAGCACCGCGGCTGTTCCCAGAAGGCTTTGAGATTCCTAGGAGGTCTTGCAACTGGGCAGATGCCTCCACAATGTTCCGGGCCGTTGGCAAAGTGCTCGTGTGCATCACCACCGGTCGGGGACTGTCTGCCTGCCAGCAGAAGGACTTGCCACTGCGCAGGGGAACCCAAATGCAGCTCTGGCTATCCTTCAGCTCGAGGCGAAACTTGCTCCCCCAGTAGATACAGCACTCCTCGGGGTTGTACTTTAGGAGCCCCTCTGTTCGGAGGACTCTTCCTGTCGGACGTGTTGTTACCACTGTGCATGTGGAGTCAGAGTCTGGTACCACTTCGTAGTGGCTGCCACTCTCATCCTTCCACTTGCCAGTGATGCGCACAATCATCTCCACTGCTGGCCGAGGGGATTCGGTCTGCGACGCCATATCCTTGGTCGGCTTGGGTGTGACCCCGCGATCCTTGGGACTGTCGTCCTTATCACGGGGCTCCTTCACAGCAAAGTGCTTCTCGCGCTTCTTCTCTTCAGCTGCGTACCAGTGGTACTCGGCCTTCCCTTCCTTCAGCGGCTTCCAGGTGAGCCACCGCTTGTGGCAATCCTCCAAGTAGTATGAGGATCCCCAGTAGACCGCACCCTCCCACAGTTTGAGCAAACCCTTTGTTATACGCCGGTGGCCGTTTGGGCGGCAAGTTTCCACGGTCCATCTCGCCGGCCCATCACGAGAGACCTTGTACTCGGTCCCTTTGTCGTCCTGCCAGGTTCCGACGGGGTCCGAAGGAGCCATTGCTACTCAAAGGTGCATTCTTCGAGAACTGTTGAGTTGAGCCATCCGCGAGCCACTTAGTGGTTTGGTCCATGTGCCCGCAGTTCAACCCGGGCCCAGGCGTCTTTGTTAACTGCGATCTTGCCACACGAGAGAAAGGGTCTCTGCCTCGGGTCCGATTGACGCGCCTGCGCCACGGAGACCTAACAGCGATTCACAGCGATCACATCTAAATTGTTGTTGTTGCGCACATGTCCGGACGCAAGACCCAGCCCACTTGGAACGAAATCACAACCAGCATCAGCCTCAGCCCTGCTAAGGCTCATACGGCATCGCAGGTTGTCTTCTGGGCATCCCAGGATGCCCACGCCTCTGAAGCTTCAGGGTCAAGATAAAGCGTCAGGTCGGAGCATTGACCGCCAAAAGCAGCTGCAATCCACAGCCTTCCCCCTACTACACCTCACGTGCTATATTCCCCTCGTCCCGGTGAGTCTCTGGAGGGGCAGACCTCCGTCCCGTCGGGCAGTTGGGCCACGGACGGGGCCTCTGGGGCCTCGCAAAAACGGATGCTTCGTTTTCAATCAACCTTCAAATCCTCTTATAGAGACCTGAAGCCCCGCCCAGCACAACAGGGCACGTACTAGGCCTCTCGAGCACGGAGGATGAGCTGCTCCACGAGCCTCTCAGGGGCGGAGAAGCTCGGCTCCAACTCCCCCACTCCCGCGGCAGAAGCTCAAGACGACCCTCACAAGGCCCCAAACACAGCCAGAGCGGCTGTGCGAGTTGGATCTCGAAGCCAGCCCAAGACTGCGCTGGAGGGGAGAGGAGCTGGTACCACCTGCTGTTTCGGTGCCAAATACTCCATGCGGTGAGAAATGCAGTGTGTGGCAGCGTGTAGCAGTGTGGCATTTGTTAATTTGTAGTTTGGCACCTGGCCGCGCCTTCCTTGGCTTCTAGGGCGCTACTGTAGGCCATCACGGGGTGATAGTTCTGCAGTTCTGCTTGAGGTTGGGCCAGTCCGACTGGGTTCTGTTTTGCGGTTGTGGATCTTGTCTTGAAGCCAGCAGGAACTAATTTAACCTACTACGGTGCTAGACTGTGCTACACTGTACTGCAGCACTGCCCCTCACGGTCGCAAGCGGAAGCAAGACAACGCGTGCCGGGCCTGTTCGGCTTGATTGCCGCAGGCTGGCGCCGCTTGTTGCCCGCCACGGCCTCTCGTCGACTGCACCATGCAGGTGCTCAGATCATGCATCTGCTGTCTCGTGGTCGAGTGTCGATGCTTTTCATCCCACTGATGGTTGCAACTCCGCTTAGCCTCCAGTGTCCAGAGGCACACAAACTGCAGCCGATGCCCATGGTGCGAAGATAGCGAGTACACAACAAGATTTGGGAAATGGGTTTCCACCCCGATTCCGACCATGCTACGTGAAAACCAGGCGCACCTGCAATGACAGCCTCAGCGCACTCGCCAGGACCATGGGGTCCTCGTGGTACTCCTTCGCAGGAATGTGCATTAAACCGCGTGCAGAAGTATCAAGATCCCAAGTCGCTACAAGGCACTTGCATGTAAGCCTGATGTGCCGAAAATGTTCCCTCCTCAAGCCTCGCTACTCACTCTAATGCCATCCTCGCGAAGCAAATGAAAATGAATCGAGAGACTGCTTTGAAGGAACACCACTTCTTCTGTAGAGCTACATGATAGCACAGGCCAGATACCTGCTTCGACAACTTGCAGCCCCAACGGCAGCAGCCAGACAACGGTAGGCAGTGTTGCAGCATTGGGAGTTCCCGCGACTCCTTCGGCCACTTTACCAGCTTGAAGACCTTCTCGCCTCGCCACAGAGCAGAGACACTGCCCCCATATGCTTCAAGAAGCATATGGGCCGAGCTCGGCCTTGGTTGGTGAAGCCGTCGAATTGCATCGTGGCCAGCAGCGGCAGCTGGGAATTGTCTAAGGGGTCCGTGGACCCACGGACGCCGAACTGCCGCGCTTGCAGCTCAGCCGTCCATAACATTCGCATGCCGACATCCTTGGTATGAATCTCATCGCGCACGCATGCTGCAGACCATGGAGGAGCTTCTGTGAGCACTCAGCCAGCTCGCAGACGAGGTCCGGGCAATTAAGCGAACACATTCCTTGCAGGCAGCACTTCGTTCAGTTGGTCTTAGGCCTGGGCCTCATAACACCTGTCCCACTAGAAACAGGTAGTTGAGGGTGCTTGCACTGATTTCTGCAGCCGTTTGTGCCGGCCAGTCGCTGGATCCTCGAGCCGGAGGAGTTTGCCCCGCTCCTCTGGATCACATTTCCACATCCCAGGCTGTGCAGCGGTGAGGCAGCTAGCAGCTAGCGCCCTGGCTCATCCCAGAGACATCAGAAGGCCTCCATGATCTTATGACCTACACATCCTTATGACCTACACATCCTACACTCCTGCGACATGTGCAGACCTGCTTCTTGGCAGTGCCTGCACGAACGTCCCTCCGGATTTGTGTTAAGCATGATGTGGACTCAGGGCGCAGAGGCCTGTTTTGACACGGTAGGTGTAAGCACAGCATAATGCAGCCCATCTCCTCCGGCAATAAGCGGGCCCATGTGGCCAAAAGCTCATCATCCATGGCACAGCTGGGAAGCTGTGCGAATTTCACCGACTCATAGGTGTGTTCTCCAGTTCCCAAAACTTAAACCCTGTAAGTCTAGCCAACCTTGACGAATGCCATACGAAGACTGGTGAGCATTGTGGGTGGTATAAAACCTCGTGACAGCAGACGACATGACCATGTTAGACGCATGGCTTGCCGCGCCGCCACAGCCGTGCATATATGTGGCCCGGATCATGAGATCATTTTTGTGGTCTATCTAGGACATTTTCAGGACGGGCTGAGATTGGAGCATGCTGCGGCTTCTGGGGCAAAAGCGGCTGCGAATAAAGAACTCTTTACTGTCGCCCACCGTCGCCAGCCAAAACGTGACAAGACAAGAGCCGGGGCGTCCTCTTTGAAGCGTATGTCTGCACTCGGCTGGACATGCCCTGAGCCAATTTGTGGCCCAATTGCCCGTGACCTTGTACAGAGGTATATTAACAGACCGCCGCATTCAGATGGACGTCAAACAGCGCCAGGGGTGCCGACAGCACACTCTGGTGGCTGAGCCAATCGCTCATGCCAACGGTGGACATCCACCTGGAAGCTTTCGGAGAAGATGCGTTTCATCTTCATTCGTGCAAACTCATGCTGCCGACCAAGCCAAAGGAAAACAGGTTGGCTCCGTCTGCACAGAATTGAAAATTAAAGCACGCCCTGCCTGGAGGCAAGCCGTCTTGGGCCCCCAAGCAGCGAGTGCACTTTGCTACTACAGACAGGGTGCAGCTGGGACTGCGACCGTCGCCCATATTTCAGGGCCTATGCTATTGCAAGGGACCGCAGCGCCGCGGTTCTGTTCTTCGTGTCCCGTTGGTGCACGAGGGCTCCTGATGAGCTCCCATCTAAAGCGGTTCCTGGAGCCGGCGCCGGCTCGAACTTCCACACGGTCAAGCACCGTCAAGGGTGCCAAGTAAGGGGCCTTGTCCTTCAGTGCGAGGATCTCTGGATCGAAGCTGCTACAAGCTCAGCATGGTGGCTTTGTGGCTCTGCTCGCCGCCAACCTGGCACAAAAGCAACGAACACGGCTCAGATCTCCCAACCGCGAGCTCTACGTCAGTCGCCATAGCAGCTAGCGGAGCGGAGAGGCATCCATGCCACACTGACTGCACAGCCTTAAAGAGAAACCCTGGATAAACCAGAAACTACAATCCCGAGATGCCTTGTGCTCTCAGACTGGTAGGTACTTCAACCTTTGGAACCGAATGCAAACTGAAGCAATGATCTGCCTCCACCGGTGCCCGTGCAGCCATCTGCGCGAAGCGTGACGTAGGGTCAGCGCAGAGTGCGGCTGGATGCCCTGCACGCTACAAGTGCCACATCATCTCACAAAAGAGTGGGAACACCCTCACTGCTTTCGATATGGCTTGTTGATGTAACGAGAACTCAGACTGGTGCGGAAGTTAAGTCTTTCTGGCTCTGCGCCTGTTTCGACCGCACATCCAGCATCCAACACCACAATAAGGTCTGCATCCATGATCGTCTGTAGCCGATGTGCCACGACCAACATAGTACAATTGTGGAACTGCGTGCGCAGGGCATCCTGAATCTGAGCGTCCGTTTCGCCGTCGACACAGGATGTTGCCTCATCCACCAACACGACCCGACTGCTCCTCGCAATGCATCTCGCGATGCAGAGCCTTCTCTTGCTTTCAAGGGGGTTGATCTCTGTTAAATCGCTAAGCTGATTCAACTGTACAAGTAGCATAAACTGACCAAGCCAAACAAGTCAAGCCTGCACCAACAACGGTTGGCTCTCAGTCAAAACATCTGAAAAATGGAAAGGAAAACAGAAGCTATTTCCCAACCCGTTTCGCTTGTGCCGAGCCACAGCTGTCGTTGCCCCAAGCTGAAGTTGCCTCCACTCCTGTCGTTTCCCAGCACAGAATGCCGTCCAGCATAAACTCATGCCAGCAAACAGCGAGTCGCAGTGACAATGGTAGCTTACATCAGAAATTCCATCAGTTTCAGTGTGAAGGAGTGTGAAGAGGGAAGAGGGGTCTCCCGGATGAATCTCGGAGCCGTTCCCTTCTGCCTCTCTACTCGCGCTGCGAGGCCACCGAGTCCGTCGAGCTTTGCATCGAAATGAACCTGAAGGAACCATTCTGAGATCACGAAGGAAGACTGAGGCATGCAGATGCAGGGAGCAGCGTGGAGGGATCATGAACACAGCCCAGGTACTTGACACAAACCGAAGCCTGCATCAATCCCAGATGCTGAGGACAATGCCACGAGTGGATTTCGGCGCCGACATGAACCCACAAGCCAAGTAGAACCACGGACTACAATCCCCCACCCCCCCCCCCCCCCCCAAATGTATGCCAAGAGCCGCCTTCGACAACGCCTCGCGGAGCCGATCCTCTGAAAGTTCTTTTGTGGGGTCCAGATTCTCTGCCACCGTCCCGCTCCACAGCACCGGCTCCTCGTGTGGTTGTCTTCAGAGGCTGGAGCAGGTAGGGCTTGCACGGTAAGAGATTCGCTGAGACACGCCTCAATAGCTGTGTAGCATCTGCTGAAGTTCGGAGATCGGGACTCCAGGTTGCTCCGCGGGATGCATGCTGTGCTCGTTCGCTTGCAAAGTCTAGCATCCTGCTGGGGCCACACTTCCCCTACTGGTACGGCACCAAAGTTTCGTACATACCCACTGTGATATCGACCATTTGATACCGTTTGTTTCGGAGGCTCGCAAAGTATGAAGAAACCCATAATCCTTAACCGCTTCATTTAAATTCAACAACGAATCAGCTTGCGTGCATGCACGGAACAGACTGTCCTGGGGGATCAGGGACACGGCAGTGCGAAGTGCTTGTAAAGGCACATTGGCAATATCCACGCCTGTGCTAAAGCAGTACGCGACAGCGGCAAAACAAGAGCAGCAGCAAACCACTAGACTGAATTTGAAGTTCTGTTTTGTGGCAACTTGCAAAAGGAACTGAGGCCAGGCACCATCGATGCAAATGCGCCCCGCATCGAGGTTTACCACTCTCAGCCTGGGGCCAACGACACCCATGTCATTTCATGGATCAAGGGAGGGGGCGGGGAAGGCAGGGATAAGATCCTCAGCGAGACTCCATCTCGACCCATCGCACATACAACTGCAGGCGTTGTAAGCGTGGAGCAGAGCCCCAAGGAGGCTGGACTTGCCACTTCCCGTGCGGCCCACGAGGCTGACCTGACGGAGCATTGCCGGTTGCGCGGGTGCGCCTACTATCGCCTGTCCCACCTTGCGACCGGCAGGCACCTGGAGGTGGAAGCCCTTCAGCACCTGAAGTGGTAAAAACCAAGAACTTTGATGACCTATTGTCGTCTCATGCATGCAGGCGCACATGCACTCATACAGAGACACACACACACACACACACACGTTCTTGTACATATATATACACACAATATACACATACACACATACACATACGTTAAAATCGTTAACAATGGTTTTTGTTGTTGTCGTTGTTGTTTTGCCTGTCGTTGCAAAGCGCGTTTTTTGTACTGTCGTAGGGGGATGGGGGTGCGAATGTTTTAACTGTCGTTGCGTAGGTGTGTTTGTTTTGGCTGTCGTGCCGGCGGCCGGGGTTCAATCTCTGACTGGCTTCCAGGGTCCACGCCAAAACAGCAAAAAACGATTACATTACAGCAAATAAGAGCATGGGTGCCATACACATACGCATCTACTAGAAGACAATTGGCCCGAAAGCATCATCAGCGAAGAGTGTTGCGCTACGTCATAGAATCCAGTGTATAGGGTCATAGAGTCACCGAGTCAAAAGCACGGAGTCACAGAGTCGGAGTGTCACATACAGTCAAGAGTCGTACAAGTCATAGTTCATAGAGTCATCGAGAAATAGAGTCGAGTACATGTCAAGCACAAGTCATAGTTCAAAGAGTCATAGAGTCATATAGAGTCATAGAGTCACAGTGAGACAGAATCATAGAGTCATAGTGTTATAGAGTCATAGCGTCAGAGTGAGAAAGAGTCATAGAGTCATGGAGTCATCTATGTACCACGCACTTGACTTGATGTAGTTCACTCTATGAACACTAATGTTCAGGTTTAGCGGGTTTAGGGTATAGTCCAACATGACGCAGAAGTCCTCCTTTCCTAGCTCCGGAACCTCACTATATAGACATCCCTGATTACTGTGGTTTCAACGTGACTCTATGACTCTATGCATGTCACTTTATGTCGTAGCAGTAGTAGTAGTAGTAGTAGTAGTAGTAGTAGTAGTACTAGCAGTACCAGTACTAGTAGTATTGATAGTAGTGGTAGTCGTAGTAGTTGTAGTAGTAGTCGTCGTCGCGTAGTCGCAGTCACAGTCGTAGTCGTAGTCGTAGTCGTAGTAGTAGTAGTAGTAGTAGTAGTAGTAGTAGTAGTAGTTGTTGTAGT